GGTTGCTTCGCCCGAGCTTCCCGGCCCCCGGCCCTCGCGCTTCGCTCCCGGACGCCGGCGCTGCTACTCCCGCCTCCATCACGCTGTCGACGACACGACCGCCGGAGACCCGGGGCGGAATCCAGGCCCACCTGTGGTCCGCGCTGCGTCTGTGCGTCCAGGTGAGGAGATTGGACGGCATGCAGAACGGCTGGGGGCCGTCTGAGAAGTGCTCTGAGCACGGGGCCGCGGCGCAGGCTCTGGCGCAGCCCTGCGGATGGTTAGGTCAGCCTCTGGCCGGCGCACCGGGCCTGGGAGCCAGAAAGAGCCCCCCGCAGACCCCAGACGGGTTGCTGGGATGAGGCCGTTGACCCATCCTTCCCCAGCCCCGAAGTCCATCCTTGGACCTGCTCTAGCATGGTCACGGGGCTGGGCTTCTGACCACAGGTCCTGCACGCGGGCACGGGGTACCCGGGGAAGCCACTTAGCGCTCTGTCTCAATGGGTACATGATGGATAAAATCTCGGGTAGGATCTGTCCCTCTCACTACAGGACAATCCCCAGGACACGATTAGCCACCCTCCGTCCCCCGGAGCCTTTTCCAAAAGTGGATGTATTGAGTCTAGGATAAAAGCAAGGGGCTTCACGCACCCTCTGACACCCTTTATCAGGAGAGGGGATGCAGGCCCCGCCTTCTGGTTCCCTTCCCTTCCGGGGCGGAAAGCCTTAGGTGGAACGTGCTCCTAAATCCATAGTGAGGAAGAAAAACGTATTCCCAAAGGTGCTACGTCTGCCAGCGTTCTCCACCCATCACGAGAGGACGCTGCACACACAACGCAGAGCAATTCAGGTCCCGTTTCCTCATCCGGGGACTCGCAGGCATTGCCCACCGGCCTAGCAGTGCCTACAAAGCTGGCAGATTTCCGTCTTTCCAAATAAGAGCCTTCTGTCTCAGTAGGCTTCTTTTGGGTACACAGACGCTTACATAATCTTGGAAATGAAAATTCTTTACCTTGAGCCAAAGCAACTTCTTGGTCAAGACAAAAGACAGATGGCCAAATGGGGGACAATATTGTCAATTCACGTCAAAGATGAATCTCTTTGGTATAATAAAAAGCTCTTACAACATAAGAAAAGGATCGAAATAGAAAACTGGGCAAAGGGCATGAAAATATGATTCACTGAAAAGGACATATAAATGGTTCATAAATATATAAAAACCTCACTCATAATGAGATAAATATAAATTAAAAACTACACCGAGATACTATTTTTTTACCTATCAGGCTGGGAAAAAAATTAACAACATGCTATTATTACAAGGCTGCGTGGAAACAGGCATCCTCAGACATTTATTTGTAAAAGGTTATATTGGTACAACTTGTAGGAAGAAAACCTATCAAAATCAAAATGCATTTCGTCTTTGACCCAATACAACTTTCGTTATTCTTGCTGTATTTTATTAATCTGCCTCCTTTCTGTTATTCCTAATACTGACCTTTAGGGGCTTCAACTGCAGTTTCTTGAGATGAAGAATTCTTTCTACTTTGTGTTTGTGCTTTTGTTGGCTGTGGGTTTCGTGGTGAGAAGGAATCGAGGAACTTCTGCATAACTGATTTTACTTCTGTTGGGGTAAAATCAGAAAATCGTTAAGCATCCTTTGAATGATGGTGAAATTTGATGCTGAATGTTATCAATTTTTACTAGAAAGTGAAAAGAAACAGGAAGTTTTGGCTTTTCAGCTTTATTT